CCCACATATACTATGAGGCAGGAATGAGCACTAGATGTCCAGCAGAAATGACTGTGATCGGGCTTGGCACCTGTAGCTCAGTGGTTAGGGTGCCAGCCACATACACCTGGGCTGGCGGGTTTGAACCTGGCCCAGGCCTGCTAAACAGCAATGACAACTGCAACAAAAAAAATAGTTGGGCCTTGTGGCGGGTGCCTGTAGTCCCAGCTACCTGGGAGGCTGACACCACAGCACTCTACCAAGGGAAACATAGTGAGACTCTGTCTCAAAAAAAAAAAAGAAAGAAAGAAAAAAGAAGTGTCTATGATCCAGAATGTTTCATCTCCGGAGAATTCTAGGTAACTTGAGTGTTACTCTAATTATTTGTATTCACTACCTACCCGACATGATGGGGCACAAGGGGGAACTCAATCATCTCCTTTAAAGACTAAGCCCAACCTAAGGGGTTAAGCTGAGTTATGTCTGCAACTTTTCTTTCCTGGCAGGAGGGATATTTATAAGACAGGAGACGGTAATGTGAAGATAATGGGCCCTTATCTTCGCAAAGCCCATTCCCTGTTTGGCCCCATCAAGGGCCTGGAGAAGCCCCTGGCAGGTGTGTCCACCCTCAGCTTGTAGATCTCAAGCTCAGAGCCCAGCCTGGCTGACTAGCTGACCTCGTGCTTCTCCTTCTATATGTATTAGATACAATTCCAAAAAACTCTCCTAAAGTGTTGAACATGATGATCTTATCTAACGTGGCTCCTGGTCACTGTCCCAGGAACCTTATAGGACTTTTCACCAGCTGAAATTACCTTATTTATTCACTCGCCTATTGTCTCTCTCCCCTGCAATAGATGGTCCTTGAGAGCAAGGATTTGTCTGCCTTCTTCATTGCCATGCCTCCAGTGACAAGGATGATACCTGCCCAGAGTGGTCCACAACAAATGCTTGATGCGTGAATGAATAGGTTAGAACATAAATACATCCCAACACCTGTCTCATCTGTGATTGGGGGGTTTTGTACATCTCTGGCTCATACTTCTTACCGAGTAATTAAAAAACAAGATTTCCCCCATTCACTTGGAAATATTACTGCCTTTTCAGCCAAATGCTTTTAATTTCATGTGTTTACTGAGTTGCTATGATTGCATTCAGTCCGGGCAGACTCTGGGAATATTTTCAAAAGCTAAGAATTTCCCACACAGACAATGCCTACTTGTGTTTCTCCCTAAATCTTAGGAAGATGAGGACTGAGTTTCATATCTGAGAGCCGGAGGTAGCCCAATAGAATATTTTCTGTCTTCAGGACTTGGCCACTTTAGGAATGTTTGGGAAACATCTTTATTTCTTTTACACTCTAGTTCACCTTCATTCCAACCGAGAACAAAATCTATTTGTTTTCCAAGTGACTTCTCCTAGCTTGAAGATGTCTCACGGTGAAAAGTCAAGTGAGAGAAAAGAAGATAAAGAGTAAAAAGAGTGACAGGTGACAGTGATGGGAATGAGAAAATTATCATTTTTATTGTTTTTTTTCTGCTCTGAAATGGGAAGATAGGATCTGGTGAAGGGCCCTCCCTCCAGGCCTCTCTCTGGAATGTGCTTTGCAGGAGCAGACCCAATCCTGGTCTTTTCAGTCTATTGTTGGCACAACTACTAACAGAAAAACCTGCTTAGAAACCCAAAGCCAAGAGATGCTATTCCAGTAAATGTGCAAAATCAATCTATTCAAATGGTAGAAATGACTAATGTCACTGCCACGCAGGAACTGTGAAAGAACATTTGCACTCTTACTGTTCTCCCACAGAAAGAAATATTATGTATCTAGCATAAGATGGGGTCAGCATACGTTTATGTCCATTCATTTATTCCTCCTATATAAGTTCTTTTCTGATATCTTTTTCAGAAAGAATGTGTCCATAAGAATTCATCATTTGCCTGTATTCACTTCATTTTTACTATTGCTTCAGGTACTAATTCAATGGTAATATTTGTGATGTTAAGAAGTACAACTGTGAGCAGGTAGTTAGGAACTGCTCTCCTGGGGCCAGAGGACAAGACCCAGCCCTCCATCTCAGTGACACCCACCTGAACTTAGTCCCAGTGATTACTCTCACCTGGGGAGGAAGGACCACCCTACCAATCTACCAGTCAGAACTTACTAAGTCAACTGCAGAAGGATGTGGAGGCCTCTCTGGCCCAGCAGCAGGTATGACAGAGCCTTGAAGGTGACCTAGAACAGCCTTAATACTGATCATAATGTGGTCCACACACCCCCAAATGGGCTCTCAGAGAGGCTCGTGGGAGGTCTGTGTGTGCAATAAGACTCTGGCCCCAAGGTGAACTTGGAACCACGAGGTAGGTCTGGCCCCGGCGGTATAAAAGTAAACCACCTTTGACTCTTTGCCTTTTCCTTGTCACGACAATGGGAGCCCGTTTGCTGTCTATGGCGAACATATCCTGCTCTGTAAGCCTGTGTCTGCTCTTACTCTGTACACCAACCTCTTTCTCAAAAAACTTTGTTTAATGCTTGTCTCACTTTGGGGTGTCTGGTCATTTTTCGACCAAGAGTGCTTCAAGAACCAAGGGTCTGGGCAGCTGCCTGAATCCCAATACAACCACCACTGACTCAGAATTTATTTTGCTCCACACACTATCTTTTTAATCTTCACAACTACCTACCTTTGAAGGTGAGAGATTATTATCTCCATTGTACAGGTATGGTAACCAAAGTTCAGAAGGTCAAATTGGGGTCCAAGTTCACACAGTCATTAGCTTCAGAATCTGGATTTGAAACCAGAGACGTGTGGGTGGAATACCACTCTCTCCAGGACACCAACTCAGGCCTCAGGATGACAAGTCCATTTACGGAGCACCCACTAAGTGCTGGCATAAGACCCAGCCCTTTAGATAAATTATTTTATTTATTCTTCAAAGCCAACTTGCATAGTGGGTATTATTAGTCCCATTTTAGCACAGGAAAACTGAACATAAAAGTTAAATAACGTGATTAAGTTTGCAGAGCTAGTAAAGACAGAATTGCAATGTAAATTCCTTCCCATCCGCTGTAAACCCCACTTCACAGGGCAACTGTTGCAACATGCCTGGGCTTAAAGAAGAGTAGTGTCCTCCCTGCTCCCAGGAATGGTTTGAAGAAACAGGATTTTCAATAGTTATAAGAAAATAATATGTAACAAGTAAGAATGTTTCGAGTCACACCACTAAGTTCTAATCCTTGATAAAGCTTCATGGGTAACACATAAAATGAGGAAACTCTTAAGATGCTGGAGGAGAGGACTAGCTTGTCTGCCTTTATTTTCCTCTTAAGAGTCACTGGAACCTAACACATTTCATTTTTGAAACCAAAACTTTCACTGAATTGAGAGAGAATCCCCGGAAAAAGTAAGGTCTAAGAGAACAGAGGTCTTCCCAAGGAGATCCCAAGGACACACCTGGGAGGTCTTCCCTCTGGTAACTCAGCTCTTAGGAATTTGTGGAAACTTAACTTCCTGGGACCTAGAAACTAAAGCTCGCTTCTGCTTCTATAGAAGCCTGAGCCACTTCTCCAGCTTGATTCAGACTTACCAATGAGAACAGTATCATGGGCCAGAACTTTTTGACTACAGATAAAAAGGAGAAGATTGAGCCAGTCCGGGAGGGTGGCCATTTTGAATTCTTCTGTGCCCTGGCTCCACCACTGAAATAAAGCCCTTCCTCTTTTAAACACGGTGTTTGGGTGTTGTTTCTCTCCACTGGGCCTCATCTTCCTTCAACATTTCAACTCAATTTTAAAGCCAGCACTCATTGCTGAACCATTCCATAATCAGTGATGTGATCTTTAGAGAAAGCCTCTCAAATATCTTAGTACAGAGTCTTCAAACTCTCCCCGTTTGGCTCGGCGCCTGTGGCTCAAGTGGCTAAGGCGCCAGCCACATACACCCAAGGTGGCAGGTTCGAATCCAGCCCAGGACTGCCAAACAACAACGATGGCTGCAACCAAAAAATAGCCGGACATTGCGACAGGTGCCTATGGTCCCAGCTACTTGGGAGGCTGAGGCAGAAGACTCACTTGAGCCCAGGAGTTGGCGGTTGCTGTGAGCTGTGATGCTACAGCACTCTACCCAGGGGAACAGCTTGAGCCTCTGTCTCAAAAAAAAAAAAAAACAACAACAAAACCCCCAGTTTATCAAGCAGAATAATAACCAAAGTTAAATGGAAATCAGTGTCCACACAGCAATGGGCACAACCAAATGTTTATAGAATGGTTAAATAAGCCAAGTTGTCAATGTAGTTTGTGTTACTTTTATTTCAATGATTTCAAACTTACAGGGAATGTTGCAAAAGGAATACTAAAGAAAACCCACATACCTTTACCGAAATTAGCTACTTATTAACATTCTGCTCCCCTTGCTTTCTATCAATGTCATTTTATAAATGTGATAATGTATAATGAAATAATTTCATAGCAATTTATAATAATATAAATAAAGTGATTTGAAGCCAAGCTAAAGGGAATGCCACTTCGCTGCTGATATCAACAAGTTTAAATCTAATTCACAGGCTTTGACTTAGAAAGCTCATCGGATTTATCTAAATCTGAAGCTGCACACCATCACCAGTGATGACCAATGCCAAGACACCCCCAAAATTTTCAAAATGACCACAGTGCCATCCATTTCAAAGTGAGCTTATTTTTCAAAGAAGGATCACTCTAACGGCCTTTTTTTTTTTTTTTTTTTTTT